TATACTATCATCTTCTACAAATAGAAAGTTTTACTTCTTTCTTTCCAATCTATGCACCTATTATTTGGTTTCTTGCCTGTTGCAACAGCTATAATCTCCAGGAAAAATCTTGAATAAAAGTAGTGAAAGTACATACTCTTGCATGTTCCCAATCTTACAGGAAAAGTATCCAGTATTTCACTATTAAATATGGTATTAGTTGCAGGGTCTTCAAATTCCCTTTATCAGGTTGAAGAAGCATCCTATATCTAGTCTCCCAAGGATCTTTTAAATCATTAATTAGTGTTGAATTTTTAAAAGTACTTTTACTGTACCTATGAAGATACTAATGTTTTTTCCCTTTTATTATTCTTTAATTACATTTGAATTACATTAATTGATTGTTGAATACTAAACCAATCTTGCATATCTGGGATAAATCTAATTTGGTCATGTGTGTTATCCTATTTATAGATGATGAATTTGATTTGCTAATATCTTGTTAAGAACTTTTCTGTGTTCCTAAGGAATAATGGTCTTATCTTTTAATATCTTTGTTATCAGAGAATTTCTGGTCTCATAAAATGACTTGGGAAGGGTTCCTTTCTCTTTTATTTCTTCAAGCTTTTATGTATGACTGATATTATTCTTTCTTAAATTTTTGGTAGAATTCACTAGTAAGTCCATCTGAGACTAGAGTTTTCCTTGTGGGAAGGCTTTTAATTATAAATTCAAATTATTCAAAAGATATAATGCTATTCAGATTTTGTTTCTTTTTGTATCCATTTTGATTATTTGTGACTTTCACTTATGTCCATTTTCATTTATCTCAATTTTAGTAATGTATTTCTGTCCTTTATATCTTTTTTGTCTGATACAAACGTGTAAGAATTTCTGTAGGATACATACTTAGATGCGAAATTTAGTGCTTTGTTTATCCTCTCCATTGTATCTTTATTTTCGTTTACATTAATCTCTGCTTTTATTTTTATAATTTGTTTTCTTTGACTTTCTTTTTCTTTATTCCATTTTTTTCTAACTGTATGTCTTCCTCCTTGATTTTCAACCTACACTCTTTTTCTTTAAAAAGCATTTATTACTATAAATTTCCCTCTAAATACCTCTGTTGCCCATCCCTCAAGTTTTATCCTTAGTACTTTCATTATCATTGAGCTCTAAGTATATTTTAATCTTCAATATTATTCCTTTTTGACTTAGAGTTATTTAAAAATACATTTTTAAATGTTCAAAAGTGTGGGGTTTTGCATTTTTTAATATCTTTGTTATTTTGATTGTATACCAGATTGCATTACTGACAGAAAATATGAATTACACAATACCTAATCTTTGAAATCGGTTAAGGCTTGTTTTATGGCCTAGCACATGGTCAGGTTTGTTTGTTCGTTTGTTTGCTTGTTTGTTTTAATGTTCCTCATATTCTCCAGTATAATATGCATTCTTTAATCAGTGGTCCTAGAAACATGGTTCTATACATATCTATTAACTCACAGCTGTTAAATGTGTGATTCATCTTCCATATATTCATTATATATTTGGTCTACATGACCATCAATAATTGACAGTCATGTGTTGAAATATTCCATTCAAGTATTTCATTTGTCCACTTCTCATATAGTTTTATCAGTTTTGTTCTATATATTTTGAGGGTTTATAAATTTTACATTGTATTTTAGATATTTTATTGAGCTCTGTAAATTTAGAATTACTAGAACTTCCTGTTGAAATAAACCTTTTATCATTTTTATGACTCTCTTATCCATAACAATATGTTTTGTCTTAAAGTCTACTTTAATATAACTACAGAAACTTGAACTTTCTTTTGGTTAGTATTTTCCTGGTATGTCTTTTTAAAATTCTTTTACTTTTCCTTCACTTTCAACCTTTCTTAGTCCCTATGTTTCAGGTGTGTTTCTTATAAACATGCAAATGGATTTTGCATTTTTATATCTAACAACCTCTGTCTTTTAGCTGATAAGTTCAGATGATTTACAGATACTGTTAGCTGGACTTGTTCCTATCATCTTGCTCTTTCTCTTTACTGTACTTTTTAATTTTTTTTATTCTTTCTTTGAGCAAATTGTTGGTTTGCTCTCATTTAAAAAATAATTTTTATGGTGAAATACAAATAACATAAATTTGCCATTTTAATCATTTTTAAGTGTACAATTTAGTGGCATTAGTTACATTCACAATGTTGTGCAACCATCACCACTATTTCCAAAACTTTTTCATCACCCCAAACAAACTCTGTAACAATTAAACAATAATTCCCTTATTCTTCCCATCCCGCAGCCCCTGGTAACTTTAATCTACTGCTGTCTCTATGAATTTACCTATTTTTTTTTTTTTGTGTGTGGTACGCAGGCCTCTCACTGTTGTGGCCTCTCCCGTTGCAGAGCACAGGCTCCGGACGCGCAGGCTCAGCGGCCATGGCTCACGGGCCTAGTCGCTCCGCGGCATGTGGGATCTTCCCAGACTGGGGCACGAACCCGTGTCCCCTGCATCGGCAGGCGGACTCTCAACCACTGCGCCACCAGGGAAGCCCCAATTTGCCTATTCTTGATATTTCACATAAGTACACTCATGCAGTCTTTGTCCTTTTATGTCTGGCTTATTTCACGTAGCATAAAATTGTCAAAATTCATCCATGTTGTAGCATGTATTGTAACTTCATTCCTTTTTATGTCTGAATAATATTCTATTGTATGTACATACCATAATTTGCTTATCCATTCACCTGCTGATGAACATTTGACTTGTTTCCATCTTTTCTATATTCTGAATAACTGTGAGGTAAAAATGGGTATGCAAATATCTGCTCAAGTCCCTGCTTTCAACTATTTTGGGTATATACCTAGGAGTGGAATTGTGGTTTGCTTTCTTGTTTGATTTTTTCCTTCTACTGGCTGAAGATTACAGACTCTGTGTCTACTCTTTACTGATTATCTTTTAAATAATATTGGGTCGGCCAAAAAGTTCGTTCGGGTTTTTCCGTAAGACATTACGGAAAAACCCGAACGATCTTTTTGGCCGACCCAATATCTTGCATTCATAATAACTAACAGTCTATAGTTAATATTTTAACCCCCTCCATACAATACAAGGAGTTTAGAAACTTAACTCTGATATCCCCCCTCTTGGCCTACATATATTTGTTGTCTAGAATTAGGTTTGTCTTCTTTTTAACCTCATAAATTATTTATTATCATCCTTATAATTATTATTACTGGTATGCTGATATGATACAAGTTAAATAATACCACTGAAAGAGTATAAGTAGAGTAAGACTTAAAAAATAAACAGGAGAAGAAAAAATAAAATCTCGATTTAAAAAAAACTGTAAAAGTATCCAGATATTTTTAGTCACTAATAAAAAAATAAATTAAAAAATTAAAATTCTCAAAAAAAAATCAATACTGTGCAGAGCAAACAAAACATCAGGGTAGCAAATTTCTGCTCAAGTTTAAAAATCTGTGATGTTAAGCTGACATCGCCACTATGTCTAACTCTGGTTTGCTCATATTTACAAACTGACAGAACATATCATTTATCTTGACTGTACTAATGAGTTCTGAACTAAGTACCTAATTTCCTTCCTCAATGCTTTATTTGTGCCTTAGCAGGCCAGTAAGGTTCAATTGTTTATCTGGTCAGCATATAATCCTTGAGTGTCTGGTACATGGCAGCACAGTTCCAGGCATGAGTAACACAGCACTGAATCCACAGATGAAAATCAATGCCTTCAGATATTATTAAACATTCCTCCAAAGACATACAAATAGCCAATAAGCACATGAAAAAATGCTCGATATCACTAATCATGAGGCAAATGCAAATCAAAACCACAATGAGATACTTCCTCACACCCATTAAGATGGCTACTATAAAGCAAAACAAAACAAAAAAACAGAAGATAACAAATGTTGGCAAGGATGTTGGGAAATTGGAATCTCGTGCATTGTTTGGAATGTAAAATGCTGTAGTCACTGTGAAAAACAGTATGGACATTTCCCAAAAAGTTCAAAATAGAACTACCATGTGATCCAGCAATTCCAATTTTGGGTACATATTCAATTGAATTGAAATCAGGGTCTCTGTGGGATATTTGGGATATCAGGGATATATGTATACCCATATTCATAGAAGCATTATTCACAATAGCTAAAATGCAGACGTCATCCACGTGTCCATAGACAGATGACTGAATAAGCAAAAGGTGATATATACATATAATGGAATATTATTCAGCCTTAAAAAAGAAGGAAATTTTGACATAGGCCACAACATGGATTAATCTTGAGGACATTATGCTAAGTGAAATATGCCAGTCACAAAAAGAAAAATACTGTTTCATTCTAGTTATACGAGATACTTACAGTAGTCAAAATCACAGGGACAGAAAGTAGAATGGTGGTTGCTAGGAGATGAAGGAAGAGGGAAATGGGAAGCTATTGTCTAATGGTACAGAGTTTCAGTTTTGCAAGATGAAAAGAGTTCTGGATATGGATGGTGCTGATGGCTGCATAAAACTATGAAGGTTTTTAATACCACTGAATGTCATACATAAAAATGGTTAAGATAGTAAATTTCATGTTGTGTATATTTTACCACAATAAAGAAATTTTTAAAAAATTATTTCAAGGAGTTTACATATAGTGAGAAAGAAAGAAAATGAACAAATACACAAAACATGTGATGTGTCAAATCGTGGAATGTTCTAAAGAAAAATAAAACAAGGAAGGAAGACAGGGAATGCTAGGAGTGGCCTGCAGGTGGCTGCAGTAGTCAGGGAAGACTTCAAGGAGATGATGCTTGAGCACAGACCTTGTGTTGGAGAGGGCTAGCCGTCCACAAACATTTGCACTCCCCTTCTTAGATTAGAACTGTCGCTACGAGGTGGCCTCTGAGCCAGGATGACATTTCCCAAGCCCTCTCACATCTGGACATAGCCATGTAACTAATTTTCACAATGGAATTTGAGCAGATGAGCTTTCTCTTACCTCTAAGCTGGGGTTTTTATGAATCTGAAGTGGCTCCTCCACTGTCTCTTTCCCTTTCTGCCAACTGAAGCAGAAGACTCTGAGGCTTTAGAACAGGGCTGTCCGAGAGAAATACAATGTGAGCCATATACGTAATTTTAAGTTTTCTAGTAGCCACACTAATATATGTATTGTTACTTTGTGTAAAATATATATATATATATATATATATATTATAGCTTTGTGTACTGGCAGTACTGTAGCCAAGGGAGTTCATCCAAGATGTGATTATTGCTAGCAGAAATGGGTTAAATTCATTTTAATAATGCATTTTTGAGCCCAATATCTCCAAAATATATTCCAGTATACATTCAATATAAAATATTCATGAACACTTTATATTCTTTTTTTCAAAATCTAGTTATGTGTTTTGCACTTACAGCATATTTCCAGTACTGATGGCCACTTTTCAAGTACTCAGTAGCCACAGGTGGTACCACATTGGACACTGCAGGTTTAGAATATGCTGGAGCCAAGATGAAGGGAGGTGGGTCCCTGAATCTCCATGTGGAAGACAACCACCCACCAACAGGATATAATAATTTTTAGTGTTATATGAGAGAAAAATAAACTTCTTTTATGTTAATCTTCCAAAGTTTTGAGGTCCATTTGTTACAGAAACTGATTCCTTGAAGTGGTGTCTTAAAAAAAACCCAAAAAACTAAAATATAGAGCATTGACTTGGCAATCAGGTAGGAGATGGCACAAAATAGACATTAGAAGTTGGAAATCAGAGACCCATGTAATGTTAAACTATTACGTGGGCACACTTGTAAGACAAAACAAGTACCTAGTGATCCTGTAGCATTAGAATAAGTCGTTTGAAAGATCCAGAATGCCAAAAGACGCTGTATTAGTCTACTAGGGCTGCCATAATAAAATACACATACAGCAAATACACAGCAGAAGTTTATTTTCTCACAGTTTGGAGGCTGGAAGTCCAAGATCAAGGTGCCAGCAGGGTTGGTTTCTGGTTAGCCCTCTCTCCTGGGCTTTCAGATGGCTGCCTTCTTGCTGTGTCTTCATATGGCCTTTTTTCTGTGCATATGTACTCCTGGTGTCTCTTCCTCTTCTTATAAGGACACCAGTCCTATTGGATTAGCGTCCCACCATTATTACATTGTTTAACCTTAATTACCTCCGTAAAGGCCCTATCTCCAAAAACAGTCACATTGAAGGTTAGGGCTTCAACATATGAATTTGAGGGGGCAAAATTCTGTCCAAAAAAGATGCTGAATGCTCCTCTCTGCACTGAACAAAGAGTTCAAGAAAGAAATGTGCTCAGGAAAGAACTGGCTAGCTTGCAAACAGAAATGGAACAGAATAAAGAAAATCTAGGAATTAAGGTGGGTTTGAGGCCTTGCAGGCTTAGAAAGTTGACTGCTTCTAGACACCAAGCAGTAGGAGATAAGACCTGAAGTGTTTTGATCAGAAGCACCCATTAAGTTGCTTTCGTTAAGCAGAGGTGTGCAAAGCTGAAACACAGATCATGGGAACTTATTCTCTTCTCATCAAGCCTATTGCTTCAAGGGGCCTCCAGTAAGCCCCATTAAATTAAGGGAAGTATAGGGGCAAGAAAGGAAAGAAAGAGAGCAGGTGTAAGAATCACTTCTAGGAAAGAACTTGGGATATGATTACTGCACATGGAACTAACTAGAAATCAAGGGAATAATGTTTCTGAAGAATAGTGGTCTGGGCCTTACAAAGCCTGTGACTGTAAAACATCCTCCCAAGGACCTCAATATCTACCAGCAGGAAGCAGGCTGTAAAAATGGTGCGAGCTCCAAGGAGGTCATATTCCTTAATGCTCATCTTAGGTATCAGCAGAAAGGATAATGGACAAGAAGAACATCCCAGAGGCCAGAATCAAGGACCACAGAGAAGAGTGAACAAGCAAGTTCCACCCACTGAGCAGGAGCATGGTCTAAGGAAGAATCTGCACCACGTCCCGGGCAGGGAGCCTTCACAGCACCTGCCCAGTCGGATTCCTCATTGTTATGGACCAGTTACCGCCAAGGATCTCCCAGTCTGCCCTTTCACAAACACAAGTTTCTGTTGTGGTTATCCTGTTCCTCGTCCATATTTTTTTTTTTTTCCCCAATACGCGGGCCTCTCACTGTTGTGGCCTCTCCCTTTGCAGAGCACAGGCTCCAGACGCGCAGGCTCAGTGGCCATGGCTCACGGGCCCAGCTGCTCTGCGGCACGTGGGATCTACCCAGACCGGGGCATGAACCCGCGTCCCCTGCATCAGCAGGCGGACTCTCAACCACTGCACCACCAGGGAAGCCCGCACTTCGTTTTTGAATTCATAGGTCTCTGGACCAAAGGAACACATTACCCAGAGTGCCTGGACTTTGTCATGGATGAGGCACCTGGGTGGTACTTTGGGTTGTTTCCTTTAGGGAGGAGGTCACATAGATATTGGGTGGCCAGGAGGCAGTCTGTGACAGAAATGACTAGCTGCCCCAGGAGTCTTTACTCCCTGTTCATAGTGTTAAAGTTTTGCTAGGACATGCTACAGAGCCAGTGACTACGATCACAGCTCCCCCTTGAATCCAGCGTGGCCCTGTGACTAGTTGTTCTCTCAAGAGGATGTGAGTACAAGTGACGTATGCCATGTCCACTGTCTGATTTCCCTTCCACTAACAAGAAACAGAGGCCCCGGGGGCCTGGCCAAAGAGACTGCAGAGTCACAAAGAGAAGGAGCCTGGGTTGCCAAAGAGTTGCCACTTACAGGAAAGCCACCCGCTATCCAGGTACACCATTATCAGCTGTTATAGGAGTGAGAGGTACACTTCTGCTTTGTTAAACGCACTGTAAATTTAAGGTTTCTTTGCTACAGAAGCGAACAGCACCTGAATTAATGCTCCTGAAAGAAGTGAAGGAGAGAGGTAAGCAGCTCTCTGGACAAAGCGCATTCCAGGCAGAGGGAACAGTCAATACACAGCCCTCAGGCAACAGAGTAAGTGTGCCCAGGGATCAGCAAGGAGCAGAGTGTGGCCAAAGCCAAGCAAGCAAGGGGAAAAGCTGAAGACGATAAGATCAGAGGTGTAAAAAGAGGTCAAATCCTTAAGACCTTGCTGGCCATTGTAAGGACTTTGGCTTTTACTTTGAATTAGTTGGGGAGCCATTGAAGTGTTTGGAGAATGAGGACACGACCTTTTCATTTGGACCACTGTAGCTGGTGCTTAGGGATAAATTACAGAGGGACAACAAATAGAGAGATCTGTTAAAACAATCCAAGGAGGAGGTGAAGGTGGCTTGGAATCAGGGGGTGATGGTGGAGGCAGGGAGCTGTGTTTGGATTCTGGGTATGTCTTTAAGGTAGTGCCAAAGGCTTCTTGTCGGAAATTCAGGCATAAATGCTATCTATGCTTCTGATGCAACTATATATGCATCAAGAGCAGAAATTGGCTCCCAGCAGCTCATAAAGTACTTGGTGTCCTCAATAGTGAAAAGGGCTCTGCCAATGCATAACAGCATTATTGTTTCATTACAGGTATAAATAATTGATGTGTAGGAACTTCCCTGATGGCTCAGTGGTTAAGAATCCGCCTGCCAATGCAGGGGACACGGGTTCGAGCCCTGGTCCAGGAAGATCCCACATGCCACAGAGCCACTAAGCCCATGAGCCACAACTACTGAGCCTGTGCTCTAGAGCCTGCGTGCCACAACTATTGAGCCTGCGAGCTACAACTACTGAAGCCCGCGTGCCTAGAGCTCATGCTCTGCAACAATAGAAGCCACCACAATGAGAAGCCCGCGCACCGCAACAAAGAGTAGCCCCCGCTCGCCACAACTAGAGAAAGCCCGTGCACAGCAACAAAGACCCAACGCAGCCAAAAATAAATAAAATAAAAAAATAAATTTATTAAAAAATAAATAATTGGGCTTCCCTGGTGGCGCAGTGGTTGAGAATCTGCCTGCTAATGTAGGGGACATGGGTTCGAGCCCTGGTCTGGGAAGATCCCACATGCCGCAGAGCAACTAGGCCCGTGAGCCACAACTACCGAGCCTGCGCGTCTGGAGCCTGTGCTCCGCAACAAGAGAGGACGCGATAGTAAGAGGCCAGTGCAACGTGATGAAGAGTGGCCCCCGCTTGCCACAATTAGAGAAAGCCCTTGCACAGAAAAGAAGACCCAACTCAGCAAAAATAAATAAATAAATTACTAAACTCCTACCCCCAACATCTTAAATAAATAAATAAATAATTGATGTGTAAAAAGTAAACAAAACTAACTGAAGGTCTTATGAATGCTTTCTGAGCTACCCAGCCCATAACAACTTTTCATTGAGATTTAATACTATTAAAATATATTCATCCTCAGTGCTGTCATTAATATTAACCATGAAACTGCCATTAGCCTGAGAGACAAGATTGCTTTGGATTCTTTCAAACAGTCAACTGGGATTGTTCTAAAACAAACAAAAATGGCAGGCTACCACTTTAAATAAGAAAACGATCAAGATGTCAGTTTTATAGCCATGAAAGTCAGTGAAGCTTGACTCACAGACTGCATGGAGGGTTAACCTCTCTTACTTCTAATTGCATATTTAACAAGAGAATTATTAGATAATGGTGAGAGCAAAATTAATTTCTTTCTATTGTACAAATTTTAATCCATCTCTTGCTTTTCCTTTTAAAATTTTAGTCCTATTGTTACAACATGTGGTATTCCTCTCTGGCAATACTGTCTGCTTTCCTCTCTTTATAATATGTTCTCAGTTATGCCTCAGCTGAGTTTGTAATTTTTAACTAGTTTAGAAGAGTCACTGAAAAAACATGGAATCCATTTACATAACTGTATTGTTCTCCAACTAGCAACTTTGCCTGGTTTAAGCTGACACTGACTAAGGTGGAAACTTCTTGAAATCTGTAATTGTTTTTTAAAAATCACAAGATTACAAAAGGTTTAGGAAAAGAGCAAACACAAAGTACCCTGAGGATACTCTAGCATCATGTCACTGTAATTGCAAACATCAATAAAATATTTAATCATGAGACAAGAAATCAGTAAAATGGAAAAACCAATTCCAGAGTAAATTTCAGCAAGCTTAA